ACTGGTAACCCTGGAAACCCTGGCAGACCGTCCGCCCCCAAACAATTACCCAAAAGTGTACCAAAAGTTCATTGTGCCCCGGCGGATATTCATTTCTATTCAGCTCTGACATTTGTCTGGTTTTTGCGCCTGCCCCTTGGACAACTTTCCAAAACTGCCATCAATTCCTGTGGCCAGGCTGGTCATTAATTGAATGCCCCATGTCCTGCGCTGCAATGCCCTCAATAGCCTGCTGCTGGGCCTCAGCCTCGTCCTCGGCCTCCTCCTGCGAAATCATATCCATAAATTGCCGGGTCACACTTGTGGCCAACTATTTAACATAGCTGGTCGCATATGGCGGAGGGAGCCGCCACCGACGCGGCCAATGTGGCCCTGTGTGTGTGGTCGGTGGTCTGCGGTATCGATGTCCTGGCAGCAGCTCCAACAGCTTTAACCAGCAGCAGCAGCAGCACCGGCAACAGCAGGAGAGCGGCAGTTGGGGCTGGAGTGGCAGTTGTTTGAAGTGTGCCTCGATAAGCGGCCAGTTGGTCAGCAGCACAATCGAGCGATCCGGTTTCAAAACAAAAGTTTATGGTTACACCCGAAGCGCACCCATGTGGATGATGATTAAATGTTGGTGAGAGCCACAGATAGAGAGCCAGAGGGGAAGGAAGGCCGCTCTGCCACGCTGCCACGCTGCTTCTGCCTCTGGTTGTACCACTCTGCCACACCCTATTGTCTTACGACTCGCATAATTCCCGCATTAATGACGTCGATTTCAATAAAAACAGCCAACATTTTATGCCTGAGCGAGCGCGTTTTAATGCGAAAGTCAAACAGACACGAGATAAAATAAATATAACTCATACGCCCCGTCTGCAGCAGAAGCCATGAGCCATGCGGCATCAGCCAGGGGCCAAAGCAGCCAGAGAAAGAGCAACAGAAAGAGCAGCTGCCCAGCTATACATATTTCCGGTCCCAAACGGAGCAGTGCGTGACGTGACCAATGTGCAAGGGCCGGGCCACATTTGCTGACCGACTCCCAGGGAACTGCTGCAACTGCAAAATGCCAGGGAATGCACTGGAAGAAATAGTTTAGCTGCAGACAGGTCCTGTTACGATTCAGTCTACAGTCTGGCACTTTAAAGGAGAATACCTTCGGAGCACACAATGCCAGTTTGCTCTTGATTTCAAAATGTATGTAGATAATTTGCACTTCCAAGCGCACTCTTAATAACTCTCAGTTCATAAATAGCACAATGGACAACAGGCACACAATGTCTCACAGTGCAGAAAAAAAACGGTAGAGGGACATGGCGAACAGTGAAAAGTCCGTTGAGTCCATTGAGTCCATTACAATAATAGCGGCAAACTATGTAGCATACGCTCTCACACTCTCTTCTCTCTCCTGTCGCTTCCCGTGTGCTTGGGACACACAAGGATAAGGTGTACTCGCGAGTCCAGTATTTGCATGGAGCATAATTTGCAGGGGGGTGGCTGGAATTTGTTGCTCAACTCAATGTAATTTAGATCGTCAGATAAACAGAACTAGAGTAAACTAATTAAGGATGAAATGCTGGCCTGGCCATATACTTACACGTACGATTACATATACATACATATGTACTGACGGATGAATATTAATGGCCATATTAATGGTTCAGACAATAATCCATCAATCAATCAATCAAAGTTGATCAATTAATGGCAATTAAATGAGAATTAATCATTAAATCGCCACCAAACACTCGAAAAGCAGCGCACTCTAACCTTATTTTTCTGTGAATTAAAATTCAATGGAATGGACAGCAAAGAACTCTGTGATGCAAACTGCTAATAAATGTTGCAGCTCTCGTACTTGCAGCATGCTCGATTTTTATACCCTAGCATAGAGTATATTCGTGGTATCACGATTTCGACCAGACATTTTCAATGCAGAAGAAAATTCTGTGTTTGCCGCATAAAATTAAATCTTTCTGATGATGCAGAACGCGCCAGCGTTTAACATATATTTTGTAAGAATAACTTTGCTAATGATAATCCAACCCAATTCATAAAGGTGTATTTTGAGTACTTAGCCAAATATAATCTTCAAACTGTAGATCTGCAAGAGATCCACAGCCTTCAGCCATTCCTCGCTGACATCTGTACACTTCTCTGCCTGGTTCTTGCTCTTTTTTTTTTTGGGTGGCTGTAAATCAAACAGTTTCCACCCAACGAACACCCAACGCCCACACACCGCCAACCAGCGCGTGTGTCCCCTTCGGTCTGGTGTGGCCTTTTGCATAAGCAAATACGCGCAATTCACAAACACGTGACGCCGCCTCTCTGCCACTCTTTTCCATCTCTCTTTGTCAACCGACTGGGCTGGATGGCTGCATGAATGAGTGGTCGAGTGGGTGAGTGGGTGAGAGTGAACGAATGAGTGACTGAGCTATGGATGGCGATGGTGACCATGGTTCATGGTTCAATGACAAGCAACTTTTCGTTGGTTCTGGCTCTGGCTCTGGCTCTAGCCATTCCTCGCCACTGCCCCTTTTCACTCTTTTGCACTGTTTTGCTTTGTTTTGCGTGTGCTAACTGTTGGATCACTCCACTCCACTCCACACCCACTTCACTGTCCGTGTCCAGCCATCGGCTATTTGCCTGCGGTTTGGCACTCCTCCCAGTACTGCCACGCCCACCTGCATACACACAACGGGCTCTTGTTACATTTCTGTCTTTCTTTATTTCTTTCTTCTTTTTTTTTTTGTTTGCGGCTTTTGTCTGACAATTGTTTAATTATGTACAACATTTGGGCGGATTGTGGGCGGTATAAGGGGATTATGGGTATGGGTGTGGGTATGGGAGAGTACTTTAAGTACCATATTTGTGATATAATTAACGTGTAAATTTAAGCCAAGTTTCAAATTTGTTTGCCTCTCTTGTTAAATACGGTTATTATCCTACAGATTTACTGACCTTAATCAGTGTTGAGTAACGCCAGGTGTCACGCTTCACTATTGGGTGAAGAGAAGTTATTATAAATTAAATACAGCTTAGATCTTGAGAGCAAAGATTAACAATCAAATGATAATAAGCCACTTGCACAACTATCAATGGCTGAAATGGAAAACACTCAATCTAATCTGAATTAAGGGTTCTGGGGATTGAGCAAGGATTAAATATGCTATCAATAATATTTGTTGCCTTTAGTTCCATTCGAAATCAGTATTCGGTCGAACTTAAATACCAACGAATATATATATATATATATATATATATGTATATACTATATATTCACTAATATCGCACCAGCCAATTACACAACTTTCGATAGCATTTAAAGCACCCATTCAATCTAATCTGAAGAGCACTTATAACCAATATTGACCCACAATTAGGCGCAAAGTAGTTTCCACCGCTCCACCACCCACACCCCCACACACCAGCATTTCCAATTACGATTTTGATATTAGTTGAACACGCAATGTTTGCAACTTAAACATTGATTTGTACCCCATGGAACAGGAGAGGACAGGCGCAGGCACAGAATATTATTGGAATTGGATCATATAAACATAACACTACCAATTTATGGTCAGAGGTCGATGCTATTGGCTCGCTTTACTGCCAGAGTAAACATTTGCATAATGAGGCGGCCATGTTATGAACCATAAAGCGCTCGACGTTTTCCAGCATTCGCGGCCATTCCGCTTGCCACGTGACAGAAAAGCGTTAAAAGCCATAAAGGACTATGAGAGCGATGGGGGCGAGGTGCCTGGCAGTCGAGAGTTAATTGAAAATGGCGGAGGAAAACAGCGAATGGAAGAATCTGTTTAGATGCGTTAAAGCTAAAGGCAGCACCTTTGGAATTTTATTTGCTTGGCATATTTGATTACAGGCTCCGCTCTCACACGGAGTAAGTACTCCTACGGCCACCCCACCCCAGCCCTGTGGATATCAGATGTCAAAGCCTTTTTCGTGGCGCAAATTTTGCAGCATTTCCCTGTCAAAGTATTGAAGCGAGTGGAGCAAAGGAAATCATTGAAACGTACATATATCGTTTGCTGAAATTGCATCAGTTTACTAGAAGAAATGCATCTCCCGGCCGTGGTATCTGCGATGGAACAGGAACGGAAGCGCATCCCGGTAGGTCGCGTTTCTGTGGCGGACACGTGAAACCATCATCAATCTAGGAGCACTGGCAACGACACTTTTAACGACTTCTTGCGGATTACTTCAAACAAAATAACCACTTTGTAGTAGGAAATTTTATGTTGCCCCGGTTGGTGTCGATGGCTTTCGGCTTTCGGCTTCAGCTACGTCTACGGCCACGGCTTTGGCTTCTGGTCTGGATATTTCACTGCATTTTGGCCAAAGTTTTGCTGCGTGCCCCGAAAGTTTACTTACCCTTCTACGCCCCCCACACACACACACACACACACACTCATTGTACATACATATGTACATATCATCGTGTCAGTTGGCAGCCGCAGTGCAAATTGTTGGACTCTGCCGCCTGGCTTAAAGGAGCAACAGCCGCAGGAGGCGGCCGATAAATATTTATTGATACTGCAGCAACGTGGCGTAATTTGCGTGCAGTTGTGGTCCAGTTAGATGCAGTAATTTTGCCTTTAAGCCCTCCCTGATGCCTCCTTACGGAATACTGCCAAGGGCAGCGAATGGGTTGATGGGTCCAAAGAGATGCAATGTTCATCAATGGATTACTATGTGCAACTGCAGCACAAATACACGAAATGGCTCACTCGAAACATTTACAAAATTCCATAAAGTGGCTGTAAATTATTGCATTGTTAATTAGCTAATTTTAGCAGCAGTGTAGCAGTGGATGTGGATAAAGGAACAGAGCAATATCCACACGGGTATTTTTATCCATTTTTAAAACCTGAGTGGCGCAAAAAGCCCTTCCACACTTACAGCTTAGCAGGAGCTTTCTTTGTTTTGGTTTCAGAGAGCTTTTGAGACCCGTTACAAATCGATTTAAGCAGTTCAGGCATTAATTTGAATGTTCATCGGAATAAATATAAATGAATATATTTATTATTTTCTACAGAAGCTACATATAAATCGGTATATTCACACAGAGGTTTTCCATCGCCCGGACTGGTGTTGTTTAATCAAAGATACCCTCCTCGGCTGCCTTGTTGACCAAGCCAATCAGACCAGCCGTAACCTCGACGCCCACCTCGGTGATCTGGTTGGAGGGCAGGAAGAAGCCGTAGGTGCCCTTGTCGCGCAGCTCCACGGTGCAGGTGAAGGGGATGTTCTTGACACCGTAGGCCCAATCCTTGGCAGCTCCAGAGACGACATCTGAAGGTGAGTGTTGGTTGCGATTTGCGATTAGTTGCGAAATCAGTGTATCGGGTATCACTCGTAATACTCACAGTTTAGCAGACCGCTGGCGCCGTAGGTGAAGCCAGAGCCGTAGGGCTCAGACGCAGCATCGGAGAAGGCGGCGGCAATGCGCTTCATCTGCTCGTAGTTGGGGGGGAACTCGGTGTTGCTGTGGCCGTAGGGCAGGAGCACGTACTGGCCGTAGGCGTGGAAGGCCATGTAGGAACGGATGTAGCCGTCGTCGAAGGAGCTGACAAATGACTGCAGGGAGAGGATCTCGATCTCGGTGTTGGGCTCGTCGCCGCCGAACCAGTGATCACAGGGCTCATCGATATTCCAGCCAGCACCGCCCCAGTGGTAGTCGAAGTTGCGGTTCATGTCGATGCCGTAGCAGATGCCGGAGGAGTTGGTGGCGCCATTGGGGCGGCGGTTCTTGCGCCACAGGCGCTCCACCTCGTGGGTGTAGACGAAACCATCGGGGTTGACCATGGGCACCACAATCCAGTCGTACTCCTCGCTCAGGCGCTGCATCTCAGGGTCGTCGGAGTTAATCAGCTGGTTGAGGAGGAAGGTGACGGTGGCCGAGGAGATCCACTCCATGGCGTGTATGTTGCCCTCTAGGAAGATGGCCTTGTTGCCCTCCCGCTTCGACAGCCTGATGCTCTTGATGTCGCGACCCTCGTACGACTGGCCAATCACCTTGCACTCCAGGTAGTCGTGGGCGGCGCACTCCTTGTCCACCCAGTCGTAGATCGTGTCCAGTGTGTGATACGACTCCCACTCCATCTCAGAGTCCTTATCCACAGCTGACTTATCCAGCAATCTAAGTAACAGAAGCTTTAGATATGATCCGGGCAGAGATCAGTTGCACTTACTTCTGCAGATCGTCGACAATCACCTTATAGACAATCTCCAAGTATTCCAGGGTATTCTCAACGTACTTCTGGAGCAGGGGACCCACAATGATGTTGTAACTATTACCAGGACCAGCCAGCTCGTTGAGGAAATGCACCTGGAATGAGATTCGGATTGCACTGGCCTGTTCTCCTAGCAGATGGCAGATTTCTTACGGAAATTTCCTCGTTGATTTTCTTCAACTCTTCCATCTGCTCTTCGTTCTCAATGAACAAACTGTAGACCTTGAAGAAGTCGTAGCGAATGGCCAAGCGGCCCGTGGCCGACGACTTAGGCGCGGCCATGGCCAGCGGCAGGATGGCAAGAAGGAGGAGGAGCAGTCTCATTTTGGTGTCTTGAACGGTCGAACGTTCACTGTGTCGCCAGTAGATCCGAACAGGGCTTTTATTTGTCCCAGGAGTGGCCACTCCAGATGGTGTTATCTAATGCCGATAGCAAGTAGCCAATGAATGTGGGAATAGAGGAAACAATTGATCAGTCATCTGGCGTGTGTCTTGCCCGTGCTTATCGGACTCTATCCAACCTACCACAAAGTAAAGAGTGAACTGAACTTTGCTACTCCCGGATACTTGGAAAACTGCGTTCTCCACTCCGATGACGTCTCCTTCGACAAAGTCAAGTCTAGTCAAATAATGGAAGAAATGCACCTAGCGGGAAGACAGGCACTCTCGTTATCAGGAAGTGCCACTCGTCTCGAAATATGTCAATTTAATTGGATGCGAGTACTCACGCGCAGGCTTTGACAACCGTCTGCGCGTGAAAGAGCACTTCTCAGAGAATGCACTCGGCTCCTAGCGAATGCGAGAGTTTAATTAATCAAGCATTGCAATTGTTTATGAAATAAGTGCACCTAATCACTGGCTAGTAAAACGTTGTTGGTTCATTTTCCGTCATTTGAAATTGTTTTTCCAGCGCGCCAATTCCGGCCAATACGGCAACACTTAATATTTTTTATATCGCCTTCCAAAGAGGTACGAGGTAAATAATAAGTTTAATAAATTCAACAGTTACCAACGTCAAGTAAGGTTTGAAATTACGCGCGTCACTATTTATTTTAGTTTCGCAGTATATTATATACTTTGCGGTATATTTCGAAAATGGGAAGGTATATTTCCGCGGATCAGACGGGTTTATTTAATTAAAAAATCAGCGGTCACACTGAATCAAGCTTTTGAACTGTCAAACAGCTGTTATTCATGTATATTGAAAGTTTGTCATTTTTATTTATTCGCAGACTCGCATTTTTTAGAAAATCCAATAAAAAGGAGTCCTTAAAATTAAGTAATCTGGTAGAAAAATGATTTTTCTATCAGAATAAATTATATGTTCAGTGCTGAGAGTCCTAACAAGCTTTTAATATTAAATCGAATATCAATATTGAGGAATATAATTACCACGGTATATTTTGAAAATGAGATGGTATATTTCTGCGGATCAGATGGGTATATTTTAATACGCGGTCACACTGAATCGAGCTTTTAAACTGTCAAACAGCTGTTCGTGTGTATTGAAAGCCCAAAGCCCGCCCATTCATTTTCTTTTTTCGCATTCGTTCCAGCCAGCTCGCGCACCCGAAAAGTCTTAAATAACTATTAATCGCTCCCGCACGTGCCTAGCTATAATTTGCAGTGAGATAATACATTACTTGAGCTTGGCAGCGTCTACGGCAAGAACAGCACAATCTGCAGAAAAGTTATGCATTTGGCATTACATAAGAAGCGAATGGCTACGCGAAAATAATTGCTAATCGGAAGAAGATTGAAAGCAGCGCCAGCGAACGCTGCCCACCAAGCAATTGAAGATATTTCATCAGCAATTTAGGAGCGCAGCAACAGCAAGAGTTTCAAACTGAGAAAAAGTCTTGTACACTGGGAAACAAAGTAAGAGAAAATATGTGCTGGGCAACAATAAAGGAAAGGCAGGAGTGTATCAACTGTAGCAGCAGCAGCAGTGACGCCGCCAACAACAGCAACCAGAACCACAGAGAGTGTGCGCCTAGCAACAAGATCAATTCGGCGAGCGAATTTCTTTGATTTGCGCCCATGTGTCAGCAGCATTTTTCAAGCCAAAGAGTGTAAATAGTAGTACATAGTTATAGCACAATTCACGCGCACAGTGAACGCCGCAGAAAGGAAAGCTTAAGATTATAGCAATAATACAAAGACACAAGAGAGATCAATCCCAAAATGAATCCCACCGGAGCAGCAGCCAAGGGCAGTCCCAAGAAATTCAATGTGTTGGCCCACTTCAAGTACGAGCATCTGGTGGCCGGAGTATCCGGAGGTGTAGCGTCCACAATTATACTTCATCCACTGGACCTTATCAAGATTCGATTTGCTGGTGAGTAACATTTCATCCACTTTACGCGGTCTCCACTGTGCTTGGGCCCGCCAGTTGTTGATAGTGGACATCATAGCACGTGCAGACGATTCCACAGCGTCGCCAGCTTGGCTGGAGATTGCACTGTGCCTCGCAACCCCACCCCAACCCTCTCGAATGTGTTTGCGCAGTGCATTTGGAAAATTTCCATGGAAAATTCGAGGCAGCTGTAGTCTCAACTGCAGCAAAGCTTCGTCCGTCCGTAAGCAGAGACGATGACGGGCTGGGATGATTGTTATTTTGTGTATTGATTTATATTTTTTGCTGACGAGTCCGATAGCTGGTCGAAATTTATTGATTTGTTGACAATAATTCCGTATGACTGATTATGCTCTGTACTGCTGGCTAAGTTTACTCTAATCTAGAATTCTCGAGAAGGAAACAAAAACACGCCCTCAAATGTACAAAGATCGATATTAACAGTTAACCTCAATGATTGCCATCCACAGTTAGAATTGCAGAGGAAGCGAACAGCTGATTGTCATTTTGAATCAGCTGAAAGTCGTTGTTTTCGCCTCTTGTGTTTATTTTGTGGAAAAACATTCAATGAATCATATCCCAACATACATGTATAAATGTAGTTGGCCTCGTTTGCGCTTCATGCGCAAAATATGTGTACGCGAGCAATATTTCCGTGTAGTCGGGTTCAAAATAACAACAACAGGAGCGGGTTTATTTAATATTATTACTGTTGTGTTGCTGCTTGAGATCAGCGCTAAAAGAGAGTCAATATGCAAATTCAGCAGAAAAAATGTTGAGTAAACAACAACCACAATGGGAGTCCCAGCAAATTAGGTTGTTTATGCGAATAAAATCACACCATACGAAATTTCGTAAACTGATAAAGCAGCTCAAAGACCCAGACATTCGAGAGTGTACGGGTAGATAGCACCCAGCTTTTAGCTCTCTGTTCTTCTATATCTATGTATTCCAGTTCGGAAACTCGTTGAATCTTCTCCAGTTTTCAACAGCTGTTTTCTATTGACTTGCGCAAGGCCTTCTTGTTTGCTGCGATGACGCATTTGCCTCAGAGAGGGCACCACGAAACTTGTTTGCTTTTGCTCTTTTGCTCACGTGACCACGCCGCTGCCAATGCTGGTCCTGGTGCTGGTGCTGTTGCTGCTGCCGTTGACTGTACATTTTCTTTGTTAACGGCAACTTTCGGCGCTTGACAGCCGAGAGCTTTGGGTACTGTCCGGTTTATGTGGCACAAGCAGCCGCAAAACGAGTTCCAGCCTGTTGCCAAGCGGGAAGTTTGCTGAATCAGCACCGCCACTTGTAGTGACCTTATCGGGGGCTATCGAGTGCACCATCAAAAACTCATTACTTTGTGCCCAAAACTCGATTGTGTCGGTAGATATGTGTATGTTTGATTTATAGATCATCATCCGGACCCGCGGAGCAGCAGACAGCTAGTGCCATCGCTCAAGGTCATTCATGGGGCAGCTAAAAATAGCCAAGAAATACAAAAATTAAGAATACTGAAAGTTCCGACGACAGACGAGCCCCCTTTCTGGCTTGTGGCGCTGTTGTCAGGCCAGCTCCGCTCCTACTGGTCGTACATATTCTCATATAAATAGATGCTAATGGACGCGTAAACATGTAGGGCTCATTTTGACTCCCGCTGCTTATCGCATCCGCTGGCAATTAACGCTATCTCTTTGGCGAAAACAACTTTGGCCACGGCCTGTTGGAGTCAACAACTGATTTGCCGTCCGTTCCGGGCCTCGCTGTACCGAGCCGAGGGCCGTACAGTTGCCTACGGTAATGAACAACACAACCACCGGAATGACGTATCCTCGCCTCACCCTTCTGCTCAATTATCCAACTATATGGTCTCAAGATTATTATTGCAGTGTCTAGACGTATTTATCACCAACGGTTTGTCTACTTTCAGTTAACGATGGACGGACAGCGACAGTGCCCCAGTATCGTGGATTGGGCAGCGCCTTTACCACCATTTTCCGTCAAGAAGGCTTCCGGGGCTCTACAAGGGTGTCACCCCCAATATCTGGGGATCGGGCTCCTCCTGGGGGCTGTACTTCATGTTGTAAGTGGATCTAACATACCAATCATCTCGAAGAATCAAACAAATAACACTTACCTTGTCACTTGCAGCTACAACACCATCAAGACATTCATCCAAGGCGGCAACACAACGATGCCGCTGGGTCCCGCCATGCATATGCTGGCTGCCGCCGAGTCTGGAGCCCTCACCCTGCTCCTAACCAATCCCATTTGGGTGGTTAAGACGCGGTTGTGTCTGCAATGTGACTCCTCGACCAGTGCCGAGTACCGGGGAATGGTGCATGCCCTGAGCCAGATCTACAAGGAGGAGGGTGTCAGGGGACTATACAGAGGGTTCGTGCCCGGCATGCTGGGCGTCTCCCACGGAGCCATTCAGTTCATGACCTACGAGGAGATGAAGAACGCCTACAACGAATACCGCAAGCTGCCCATCGATACGAAACTGGTGTGTATACGAATCAGTGGGGAACAGCATCACATGACCAGGTTGCTCGTGCCGTTGCCATCTCATTTAATATATATATATATACACAGATATATGCACATCCATATCTGTATATATCCGGCTGCGACTGGTATATGGTGACGTCTGATCGTTTTGGCAGCTGTTCAAGAAAAATTCGTTCGTATTTCTAACCGTTGCTCGCTTTCCATCCACAGGCCACCACCGAGTATTTGGCCTTTGCGGCCGTCTCCAAGCTGATTGCGGCAGCAGCCACATACCCGTACCAGGTGGTGCGTGCCCGACTGCAGGATCATCACCACCGCTATAACGGCACCTGGGACTGCATCAAACAGACTTGGAGGTACGAACGCATGCGCGGTTTCTATAAGGGACTTGTGCCGTACCTGGTCCACGTCACGCCCAACATCTGCATGGTCATGCTGATTTGGGAGAAGCTGACCAGCTAGATAGAGTATTAACCAGAGCCTAGGATCTAACATCTAGAATCTGGAACAGAATTTAAGCACCTAGAATACACGAATCTTTCTAGTTTCCTCCAATGTGCAGCAAGCAGCAAAAAATGACAACATGTTTTGTATTATTGTTATAATTCAATTAAGAACCACCTAAATACTAGCCCTAAGTTAATTCCATAATTAGTTTATTTTACATTCTGCGCCTCTTCACTTTGAAAGTGTAATTGTTGTGATGGTCTGTAATTTCAAAGATGCATTTCTTGCACACTTCACAGAAGCAACACACACACACACGCACACCCACATTTAGTTGGTAGTTTAGTTAAATTATTTATTTTGTAATGGATTGGAATTGTAAGCGCAGCTGAAACCAGTTTCTAGTTTAGTTGCGACAAAATTTCGTTTTGGCAAAAAGATTCTTCATAGTTTCGCAAATGGTTTATAATCTTAAGGATGAAATGAACCTTGACACTTATGTAAATAAGCATAAAACGCATTGTGAACCACCAACTAAGCTGTTGAAGCAGAACAATCCCAATCAAATCATACAACCAAGAGAAGAAAATGCAAAATTAGTTACATACCTACCTACATTAAAATGCCATGATGGCAATCCAAAAGGAACAAAAAAAAATCGAAAAAAGAAAACTAAAAACCAGAATGTCTCGGGTCTAACCAGAGTCTTTTCATTTGGCCAAGGGCTATGGGCTTCAGCTTCAGCCGTACGCTGTGTTGTAAGTAGTCCCTGCTCCTCGCTCTTTCCCATTCTCGTCACTTGTGGAGAATCTCTTTGCTAAACTGAAACAGCCAACGCGTTGTACTGTAAGTAATTGTAGCCACCTCATCACAGTCACTAACCCCCTTATCCATGTTTCGTCTCATTGCAGATTTGAGGGCGTCGGCGGCTTTTACAAGGGCCTGCAGGCCAGTCTGACGCGTGTGATACCCGCGTGCATGATCACGTTCCTCGTGTACGAGAACGTGTCGCATTACATGCTGGCCAAGCGGAAAAGAGCCGAGGGTCAGGCTCAAGCCATAAAGAAGGACAACAATTGAACGAAACTCGCATAAACTTACGATTCAGGATTCCTCTAGTTTATAATTAAGAAGTTTATGTACCTCTATATCGCATTACATTGTATCAGTAGTCGCAGGACGGCTGCTCACGTGTTGAGCACTGCAAGCTGCTCTTAGTGCCAAGGCTGTTGAACGATGCTTTAGTCTGTAAGAGGCTGGTTTTATATCGACATGGATTGTTGTTCCTACGGTGCTTAGCCACTGATTTTTCACCGTCTGACAAACCAGTGATTGCTGAGACCCAAATACATTATTGTGTAGTCTATTATTGAAATGTAAATGTAAATAAATGTTGGATTAAGATCAAAATACTTATAAAAACAGCCTCACCCAGGCAGCGTACATTGTCAGGGTAAGCTTTAAGAAAGCATCAATGTTGGTTGGGTCAATAAATAAATCATTAAATATTTTGCATTCCAAATACAATTTTGTCCGTTTTGGAGCTTCAATCGAAAGCTTGTCGGTATCGATACAAATCCAATATTAATCGCTAATTGCGAATGCCAATCACTATCCTATCTGGTTGGAGGCTGTTTAACGGTTGTTTGTGTAGTGCTTATGAAAGCTTCGTGCGAAAGCTTTCTGCTTTCGTTTTCATTGCTTTGACTGACTTGCTTAACCGTTCGCCCGGTTCATTATTACCGTAAAACTCGTGGAGGGCGGACGTTGACACGCTGCACCGCTTTTGTTGTTATGTTCGTCGCCGTTTGTTTGCGTATTTCGTTCGTGTGTGAATTCCATTACATTTCGTGATATAGAATTAGCGCCAAGAGCCCCAAGACCATACCACAATCCGAGCCCAATCGAAGCCGTTTAAGCTTATGCAATTGACTTGGTGGTGACCACCTAAACCAAAGTGCTCTAGTTCGTCCATTTGCATCGTAAACGAAACCAGTTTCGCCTGCATTCACGCCAAATACACAAATAAATTGTCCAAAAAAGTGCACAGTCGAGTTCAATAAACCTTCCCCGTGCAGCGATAACGACAGCCTCTGGCCCCGAAATTGCAATTGAAATCGAGAATAAATACCTCATAATTCTGATAAGTTCAAGTGCAGACATAGAGCTTTGTTTACCGTTGAAACAGAAACGAAGTTTGCGAACAAAGCGCGTGCGAGCAGGAGCCGGAGGGCAATTAGAGCTGGGAGAACAGAACCACATGTTGCCGCCAGCGAGTGAGCGAGACAAGGCGACAATCAAACAAAACACTCGAAAATCCCCACCCCACTGAATTGTTGGACGCACACAGAGCCGAGGCATATGTAGATAGAGCTTGTGTGAGTGACCTTGACTACAGAGAGAGTGTGATAAAAGACCAAGATAGTTGGCCCGCACATTTTCCAAAGTCTAGGAAGCATATATCATCATCAGGAGTTGCATGGCAACCAGCGTCATACGGAGCAGCGTTGTATCAACCTCCGCCGGACGCCGCAACATCTGCGAGTGCCTAGCCATAGAGTCCTCCGGTCTTGGAAGTGTTGCGTTGAAGTCACAGTCGTACAGCAATCTGAGTGGGTGTGCCTGTCTGCGGTGCCACTACCTGGCCAGGACGGTAATCGTGACCAGCACCTCTTCCGACGACACGTTGCCCGTGGAGCATAAGCATCTTCCCCTCAGTGCCATTTCCTTGGGCACCCTGACCGCCAAGGAGTCGCCCATCTTTGTGCGCCGCCAGCACTTGATCCTGCCAGAGGAGGAGCAGCAGCCGCCGCCGCCTGTACTCAGCTCCCCGCCGTTCTCGCTGCGCAGTGCGTCACCCTCGTACATCGAGCGCCAGCCGGAGATCGATCTCAGCGCCGTCGAGGCGCTACCCCTCGCATCGGACACACGTGCCAGCATGGACATCAACCGAAACAACGGCTACCTGCACAACGGAGTGAGTATCTCGATCAGTCGTACAGTAGTCATGCGAAACACATGTAAAATGCAAGTTTACGTCCAACGTTGGGGAATGGGGGATTGCCCAAAAATAAGTGGACCAAGTTTAGCAATGAATTGCTTTTTGCAATGGTCAGGCCATAACTTAGCTACGCTACGCAACTGATGGCTTGTACATTACTCTCATTTGGCACTTAGTAGTCCGAGAACTCGGTAAACTCGTTAGGTGCCCCCCAGCTGGGTTTTGTAACTGAAACAGATGCCTAGAATGGGGCGTCATCATGGGATTTCCCGCAGCTGGGGGAATTCAATTTTTACTTATACAACAAGTTTATGCCCTTTAATTGGTATCTTTATAGCTGAAATTCGACACTATAAACTGTGTAAATCTCAGCCAAAACATTCTCTGGCTCAGAATTCAGCTCAGCATTAATTTTGCCCACTTCTCGCTTAGCCTTCTCGTTTTTTGCAATCGATTTGTGTCTTATCTTGGCCAATATAAATGCCGTTTGCCCTGCCATTTACCGACCAATTAAATGGAAATGAAATTGAATTGAATTCGTTGCCACATTTGAGACCGAACGCGGTAAAGGTAAACAAAGCGATGAAATCAAAACAATGCCAGGCTGAAATTTGTCGCCACTACTGGAAGCGACCACAAAAATTTCACTCTCGTCACGGCATGCCATGCCCCATACGCAACATCGTGGGACAAGCTGTGACAGCGACAGACTCGAAGACGGGGGAAGGAAAACCATGTGGGTGTGCTCGGCTGCTTAAGTGATTGCTGGTTAAAGCTAGACATAGATGTAGATATCCGCTGGCTGCTGATGGGAAACTATAATGGAAATCGGAATGAGAATGGGAAGGGCTATTAAGTATGGCTATGGGAATGAGTTGCTACCGTTTTGCATATCGTCACGTTTTAAGGTCAATTATTGAACGAGGCAAGCGAAAGTTTGGAGGCGGAATCGCACGTGGCAGTGTCAGGGCAGTGGGGGAGAATCTTAATTAATTCAAGACATTCAATATTGTTTCAATTATGGATTACACACACACTTTTACCCACAGTAATATCCCACAGTCAATGAATCACAAGGTTGCAATGCATTTTCGGTACAATCTAATCAAACATTGCTCATATTTTTGCTGGTGACTCCTCCTCCGCCTGCCAGTGATAAGATATGAGCTGGCCTGGCTGGCACTCCACTCCAACTGTGATGGGGATGGGAGCAGAGGGCTGCGTGTGCAGAGTCCATTGAGGAATGGGTTGGACGCGTGGTGTCCGGGGAGATATCATCTCCCTTATGTAATCTGTGTGTCTCTCTCTCTGGTAGTCGCACTAAGGCAATGCACTTTCTGTTGTGCTGCTATTGTCGCAGGCTGATTTCATTTACATGACAATTGCCACAGCAATCGCGGCTGATAAGCAGCCTCGTATAAATCCATAATGGCGGAGAGTCACATAAATACGAGTATGTGTGCCCTAAGTCACGCAAGGTGAAGCGCGCATTTCGAGCTATCATCGGGTAATACGATACAGCAATTGAGATGCAGTTACCCCAGAGGTGTTAAGCCTGCAACAAATTAAACTAATCAAACAGAAATAACTACCGCTTGTCACATGCATGGGCTATAGACTTTGTATAGACATTCAGGCTTCTACTCGTTCGTCCACATTCCTGAAACGAGTAGTTTAAGACAGAGCCACACCCCCCCAGCCGACGAATACAAAAAATTATAGCTCAGGACAAATCTGATTGTGGATAATACAAAATGTTATGCCTAATAAAAAATACTTGCCTACATATCTGTAACAAGTATACACAGATCTTCATATTACGTGCAGCCAACACTCTTTTTGGTGTTGTTGCCAAGTTGTTTACAAACTCTGAAAGTGGAAAAATGCTAAAGGTATTCTCAACCTGTTCACGTGTCGTGTGGCATGCAACTGCCACCCCATCCAGAAACCTGTCCACGTGTGCTTATTCCCCGTTTTATAGCACAAAACAGTTGATGGCTGAAGCATGGGAGCGGGAACTTCTTGTTTGTTCTTTATTGTTAACGTTTAGCAAAGCTCTTGCAGGACTGCTCCGCCCATCCATCGCCTCTGGCATCCGTGTTGCTTTTATGCGGAATGGGGTCGCTGGGGCTATTGCAGACTCCTCGCATGCCTATGCCCTGCTCCTGGAGCAACTGTCGATTTGCGTGCAAACATTTGCATGGACAAAGGCGGTGCCGATCCCTTCTAGTTGTTCGACATTTATGTGGAAAGTGAATTTCTAATGCTTTTGGTTTCCATGGCCTGAAAAGACGTAAAGCGGTGCCTTGAATTGGGGATTTCTGTAATCTTCCCCATAAATTATGTAAGCTGTTGCCTGTGTGCGAGTTTCGAGTGTTGAAATAGTTGTCCCCGATTTCAATATGTGCATATCGAGGAAGCTGTAGACGGACAGCACGGATCTTTCCCTCAGTAAATACCTAATGTAACCGCAAAGGTTTCCAATATGCGATAGAAGTCTCTTTTTCCCCATATAAGGAAATGTAGATTAAGCAACTTTACACATATGAGCCCCCAGTTCCGTATGTCTGTCGGAGATCTACATATACATATTTACATATATGTATGGATGTATGTACATCTATCTCAAAATATGTGCCACTCAGTGGTTATACTCGTGTAATCTTATATACTTATGTCTCCTCTCTGCCTCGTCTATGGATTGCGGCTAACCACGTTTTGTAATAAGCGTAATTCTATATCTTCACGTAGCAGCAACAGCAATCATTCAAAGACAGTTGGTGGTGTCCCCAAGACACCCACCCACCTTCCTCATTGATGTGTCTCCCACTTAATGCTGAGCGACTCTTTTGGGGCAAGTTGATGCGGCAAATCCTCAGCTTAAAGGAAGCCACCGAAGTGCGTGAATGAACCAACTCTCGGACGTGGCTGGGCTAGGTCAGGTACGTGTTCGTCCACTGCAGCGCCAGAGCAGACCATTCCATCTCGGCCCAGAAATGGACACTGTCATACAGTACGCTTGATCGACTGTGCCAGATGATTGAGCCGAGTTATCAGTTGCAGCCCCAATGACAGAGTCGATTGATTCGGGAGCATGGCCAGCCGGTGGACAGAACAGACAGGCCGCTCCATTCAGTCGGGCATTTGGCTGAGACGGACACAGACCTGGCTTTGTCCGAGGATTGCTTGATAAGCGGCTGCCCCAGACCCAATCGCGGCATTCAAAAGCCGCCACTCTTCTCACGATCATTTCGCAATAATTCGACTGTGCCGGACCAGTGTTGGTAAGCGCAACACTTTGGCTGTGTTTTTTTTTTTTTGTGTATAACTGTAATGTAAAACCGACCACAAAACGTGGTGCTGCCGGGTGGTAGTGGCAGGGGACAGACGACTGGGCTTAATAAAATTTATAAAAGCCTAGACGTCAACAAATTGGATTTCAGTGCGCGATTGTTTTGACTGCATTGCGGTTGCTCAATTCGCTCAGGAGATTCCTTGCAGGATCTCGCAGGATAGACAGGATAGGAAATAGTACCCCACACGACAGCACCCCATGAAAGCCGTTTAGCCCCACCGCAGAGAGTCGACTCCCTTTGATGAACAGGCCCCTGGTTTATCCCTAAGTGAAAATATGCAAAACGTTGAAAAGCAGCGGGGAAAAGCCATACAGAAAGTGGAACCAGAACTCGAACCAGAACCGTCGCCAGTGGAGAGGGAGAATTTGGTGGTAAGAAAGGACAGGGAGGAGGAGAAGGAGCAGAAGGAGGAGGAGGAGGACACTAGCTCCAAAATCAAGACTCGTTCACGCTTCTCGGCCGCCTTTCGCAGTCTCTCCAAGCCAAAGGCCAAGAAGGAAAAGGAGCAAGAGGCCAAGAGCGAGGAGGAAGCCGCACCCACGCAGCTGGAGGACGTGGACAGCACTGACAGTGGAGCCGCTGGGAAGACGCTGAAGAAGAAGAGTCTCACCCGCCGCCTGTTGCTGGGCGGTCTGAAGAAGACCCCAAAGGTTCGACCCCACAGCCTGGCCACCAGCGAGGAGATCAGCGTGCTAGACAGCAGCCACGAGCGGGTGGAGACAGCCACGGACCCAGATCCGGACCCAGACACCAATGCACCATCGGCCAGCAGCAGCGGCACCCTCCTCCAGATAACCATAAGCGGGAAGAAAGTCGAGCCGGCCAAAGGCAAGAGCCGCAGCAAGAGTCGGTCCAAGAGCTCAGCCAGCGAGACGGATTACCTGACACCAACGGCAGAGGCGTCGACGGGGAGGGCTACAGCGGGTGGGAAGAAGAAGGCGACCACGACCACAACGGTGACGACCAAAGACACGAGCAGCACTCGGACGACAAAGCTGATTGTGGCCAAGAAGAGGCAACAGTCGACCGCCAAGCCAGCAGAGGCAGCGACACCCACAGCGACAGAGCGACTCGCGACGGCAGCAGAGGCAGCGGCAGGAGAAAAAATCGCTATCACCGAGAGCACACGAGATACGCCGCCCAGAGAGCGGGCCCCGGCCAAACCGAGTCGCGTTCAGGTTCAGTCTGCCAGCAGCACCGGAACCGTACGCAAGTCATCCTCCAGCAAGAAGCTGGAATTGCTGCAACAACAGCAGCAGCGCGGACACCGCCTTTCCAGACAAGTCGCCACCAACGCCACAACGGTGGCCACTCCAGAGAGCACCCAAGTGCCGGCCCTAGAGGCGCCACCCAGTCCAGAGTTGGAGCCGCCCACTTGTCCACCCCCACCCCTGCCAGTCGTGAACGAGCAGGCTGCCGAAGACGCCGTGTCCTCAGCAGAGAGTGCCCAAACCGTCAATCCGTCGTCCCTTGTCCGTTTCGCAGTTGGTAGCGCCGTGCGCAGTCCGCTCAGTGCCTACGAGGCTGCCTTGGCCTCGTTAGCCAATCAGCCCAGCTCCAGCGAGGAACCCAGCGACTCCAGCCTACGGCGACAAAGCTTTGCCCAGCAGCAGCTCGTTCTAAGCGACCACGACAGCATCGAAGGCCGGAGGGAGACCCTGCACTATCACTCCGTGGCCAGCGAGTACTTGAACGAGGACTCCGTGTCCGAGGAGAGCGAGGAGCAGTCCAACAAAGATCCAGACACTGCGAACCCCATGCCAGCCTTTGGTGACCTGACCATGGATCAGGAAATGGAACCGGTAAGGTGTCGCCCAACTGTTTACCTCGCTGATTTACAACCGAAGCCCCACAAGTGTCGTGTTGCTTCTGATTGCGTTCCGTGCCGTGCCTGCCCTCGGCGGCTGTTCATGTTCATCGGCCCCCTTTTCGTGGGAGGCTCTGTGTGTGTGCGTGTCATTCAACTGCGCGGATGAGGGGGTCTAGACAATCGACTATTCAATCACAGTCTTCATTTGAACGATAGACAATCCGCATAGCATAGCCAATACGTTCGGATTGAAGTGGGAATATTTCCGGAGCTAGACAGAGACTGTTCCTATACGCTTGGCTAAAATGCATTTAATTTCCATTTTTCCAGGCCATCATGACGTCAACCAGCGAGAAACGGGAACATCTGTACAAAATTCTAGTCATCGGCGAGCTAGGCACTGGGAAGACGTCCTTCATCAAGCGCTACGTACATCAGTTCTTTAGCCAAAACTATCGGGCCACCATTGGCGTGGACTTTGCCCTGAAGGTGCTCCAGTGGGATGGCAACACGATAGTGCGCCTGCAGCTGTGGGACATCGCCGGCCAGGAGAGATTCGGCAATATGACGCGAGTCTACTACAAGGAGGCGGTTGGAGCGTTCATCGTGTTCGACGTTACGCGCAGCGGAACCTTCGACTGTGTGAGCAAGTGGAAGGAGGATCTGGACTCGAAGGTGCAGCTCCCAGACGGTAGTCCTATACCCTGCATACTGTTGGCCAATAAGGTGAGTAATAAGGGGAAACGTGGCCCAAGTGGGCAGGGAGTTTCGTGATTTATCCCTCTTTATGGCTGCTTGCAGTGTGATCAGGAGAAGCAGGGCATCGTCACGAATCCGGAGAAAATGGATGAGTATGTGCGGGAGAATGGGTTCGCCGGCTGGTTCGAGACATCCGCCAAGGAGAATATCAACATCGATGAGGCGTCCCGCGCTCTTGTGAATAAGGTAAGAGCTGTCCCAGCTGCCCGGTGCCCATCTTCTGACTAATGTGTCCGTCTCTCTTGCACAGATACTCATCAACGATAAGCTGATAAGTGGCGACCTGGCCGATGATGAAAAGTTCAACCTGAACAGCACCAGCGATGCAACTGGCACGGAAACCAAGAACAAGTGTTCCTGCTGACCTGGGACCCAAAAAACCAGATGTCTGGCCAGCCATCTGCTATAATTTCCCACAATCATTCCAATTTCCCCTCCCAGTCTGAGCAACAGCTCTAAAGCTAAATGGAAATATGTTTATGTCATTCCATGTTCATGTTGTTGAAAGATAACGACGATAACTATGCTTAGGGTTTTCACTTAACATTTGTCCAAGACTTAGCATCCTCATCGTGTTCCACCCATCCATCCATCCATCCGTCAGCCGATCTTCTGTTTGTTTGCACCGGCACCAAGACCGACCGACCCTGGCCCACACTTGTGCCCGTAAATTCCGGATAAGAGTACATTGTTGCCGCGAGGTCGGGATCAGTGCGTGAATTTATATGGTGGCACCTTCGCATACATACACATCATCCACATTATCTGGATGGCAGCATCCATGCTGCCCCTATCCACCCACCCACATTATAGGGTCTACATTTGTGTAAAATACGAATCGTTCTTCTTGTTATTTGGTTTGCCTTATTTACTTTTGTTGGCGAGATTGTTTTATCTTGGAGTTCTTATACACATACACACTTTGCCATCTTTATTTGCATTTAATTTAGATAAAAATACGTACCGTACGTTCTATGCAATACAATACGAAATGAAAAATAAAGTTTTAATTGTAGTTAAGCCTAGTGAGAAGTGTTTTATTGTGCTCATAGAACGGGCCGAACAGGCAGCGTGCTCCGTGTTTTGATCATCCATACGCGTACGGACGTCATAAATAGATGTTAACAATTTTGGTTTGAATTTCCAGCAACGCAATTGAATGAGCTGTAAAGTGTTCGTGCATGGTATGTTATTACACTGTTAACTGCAGCTGTTTTTTCGCCTAACAGCACATCATTTTATCAAAATCGAGGAATATCCAACGCATCTTGTCGTGTACGTCAGTATATTTACGGTATATTATCTAATAAAGTTCCAATTTATTTTTTAATATATTAAGATACTTTTCAAAATGACCGCCAAACTTCATTTAGCGCACAAAACTTACATTATTCCCTCTCAAAACGTGGTGGCTTTTCAAAATTTTCTCTGTTTTTTGAGGTGATGAGAGGGCTAACTAGCTAGTAATATTAAACTAAATATCAAAATCATGAAATACGATTTCAATCAATAAAATATAACCTTATCCCATTATCGACCAGGGGGGTATTTAATATTTCCACGAAATTTATAAACCTTTAACATATTTTAAGCATTACAGGTGAAAGATATCGGTGGTAATTTTTGTTTTGTAAGTAAAGAGGAGGATGGAGCTACATGGAGCCTTTACAAACAGTATTAGTTTCCGCTGTTTAACAAAGTGTGCTCAACTTTTTAAATAGTGGGATGTTAAGTGGGTTAAGTCTCGTTTGATCGCCGGATTGCCCTGGTTTCTAATGGTATGGTATTTAAATGGTATATCTCGAAACTGAAGTGGTATTTAATGGTATTTATTTTTTGGCCGGATGGTATTGTTATCGTTATCGGTGCGGTCACACTGAATGAATTGTTTATTGCAAAAATCTTCAAAAGGAGAAATAATAGAAGATATAATTGGTTTAACAAGCGTTGGAAATGTGCTAGATGTTTAAGGTGAGCCGCAAAACAACTTGCCGGACTCCAGAACTCATTCTTCAGCAGCTGGTATCCGTTTTCGTGGGTCATCTCGTCTTACTCGTCACGTTAACTCCCCCTTTTCGGGTCTTTGTTGTGTGCTGTGCTCCGCGGCGTTGGCACTTCTGCTGGCTGATAAGTGGCAGGGCCAGGCGCAGTCAACTTAATTAATCAGTGCCCAGTGTAGTGTGCAAGTCAATTGGATATTTTGGACGCCGACCCGACCCGTGAACGAAATAAATCAGCTGAGCGTCGCCGCTCACCGACCGTCGTATGCAAGATATTCCAATTATGACGATTTTCCCACACTCTCTTTCTCTCTCACTGCCGCAGTTGTTGCATAGTTGGAATTTAGTTGGATTCACTGGCGAGACAGCTGCAAGACACGATGTTGCCGCCCCGGGAAAACGTCGACCTGGAGTGCTTCCTGGTGACCAAGCACTCTTGGAAGGGCAAGTACAAGCGTATCCTCTCCATTGGCACAGCCGGCATCTCCACCTACAATCCAGATAGATTCGACTTGACGAATCGCTGGTCCTACTCGGATATTGTGGCGGCAGCCCCCACCAAGACATCAAATGTATGCAACGAATGGCCTTTCTGGGGGATTGAAATAACCAAATGCACTCTTTTTTTTTAGATACCCAATGAGTTTGTGCTGACCATTAAGAAAGACAAGAAACTGGATACGATCAAACTATCTTCGGAATACCGCAATGACATACTCAGCTCTATACTGAAATACTACAAAGAGTTTGCCGATAAGCCGAAAAACACTCAGGTTTGCCCAACTTCCGTTTATGACTCATGGAATCGTTCGACAAATGTCGTCAATTATGGGAATGTTTCTTCACAGTGCTTCAGTGCGTACAAGTACCACTGGTCGGGCATCAGCCTGCCCACTGTGCTGGAGGTGACGCCCTGTTCGCTGGACCAGCTGGACCCCACCACAAACGATGTGCTTGCCAGCTACATGTACAAGGACATTGAGGGAATAATAGGTAGCTATACAGAATCGTCTCGTTTGCATCAGATGTTGTGCACTGTTCGTTCTGTCGCCATGTTTCTTAATTTTAATTCAATGTGTACGCTTTGTTTTCGTCTGCTCTTGCACTCATCATTATGGTCTTTGTTTACGTTTGCGCACGTTTTAAGCAGGCATCTCGGACTATGAGGGCGGCATTGTGATGGCCTACGGCGGCTTTAGTCGCCTGCACTTGTTCAAAGCCTTGAATCACCACGAGATCGTGCAGAACATTGCCCAGAGGTCGGCTCAGTTCCTGGGCATCGAAACCAAAATACTCAAGAGTCAGATAACTCTCGAGCAGTTCGAGAGGCAGCGATTTGGCAAGTTCAGGTAAGACACTAGAAAATGAAGAAAATGTGTTCTTTTCGGTGAAGAATGATTGTTCTGTTCATTCTGCAGTGACGATCAATTTCAAACGTCGATGACCGAGTTCACAGTACAAAAGATAACATCACGCCATCCAGATCCAGTGAAGCGCATACTTTGCCTTACCGAAGTGACGCTTCTGGAGAGGGATCCCCAGACCTACAGTGTCTGCACTCTGCGCCCACTCACCGATGTGTTTGCTCTGGTTCGCGACAAGGACAGTCTGCAGCGCTTCAGCATCGAGTACAAGAACGGAATCGTCCGCAGTTATAGTACTAACGACAGGGACTCACTGCTGGCCACTCTGCTGGATGCGGTGCGCTCCAGCGGCAATCAGGATGTGCACATACGCATCAGCAACACGCCCAGAGGCAAAAGATATGTCCCCCTCAGCAGCTCCGTGGACGAGGAGACGGAGGCCAACTTGTTGCGATTGGTCATCAACAATTTCCAGAATCCCTCGAAACGTTACGAGATCCTGGAGCGCTTCAATGCCAATGTGCCGCACAGTGGGCTCAACTACAGTGTGACGCAGGACGTGGGTAGCCCCAAAAGAATCATTTGATCATCCTTATGCAGCCATTTAATTTGCGATTTCAGAGTCTGTTTGCCGAGAACAAGGAGAAGCTCATATTGAGTGCCCTGCAGGCGTTGGCACAAAAAGAGCTGGACAGTCCCACTGCACAGCTGAGCAACCTGGAGCTGGAGGCTATATTCCACGCTCTGACTCGTCTTCTGGCCAGCAAAGTGGGCTATGCAGCCTTCACCAATCTCACGGGGTTAGCATTCCACCTAGAAAACCATTTATTTCCAGCTTTAATTTAATTTCCCTGGGTACGTTTTCAGATTTCGCGAGATTATTGGTACCAAGGTTGTGGCTGCTTTGAGACGCAAGGATCTGGCTGTTACATACTCTGCCATTGACATGATCAACTCGCTGATGCATTCGGTGAACACTGACCATGACTTGAAGCAGGAACAGCTAAATAAATCCTCCATTCTGTCATCGAAATCATTTCTGGAAACCTTGCTCAATATGTGGACAATGCATGTGGTAAGTGCAACAAAACGATTCGTGACACATTCTCCATTAATTCTTTTATTTCGCAGAGCCATGGCAGTGGAGCCCTTGTTCTGTCGGCCATGCTGGACTTCATGACCTTTGCCTTATGTGTGCCTTACAGCGAGACCACCGATGGCAAGCAATTCGATACGCTCCTGGAGCTGGTCGCCGATCGTGGTCGCTATTTGTACAAATTGTTTCAGCACCCCTCGCTGGCGATCGTTAAGGGAGCCGGTCTGGTCTTGCGTGCCATCATCGAGGAGGGGGAGCTGCAGGTGGCTCAGCAAATGCAGGCCCTAGCCCTAGATGAGGCGGCCTTGTGCCGGCACTTGCTGGTGGCGCTGTACACGCCATCCAATGATCCCACTCTGACGACACACCGCCAGCTGTCACGCCATCTGATTGGCCTGTGGCTAACGGACAGTGAGGAGGCCCTGGAGCTGTTCAAGCGTATTTTTGTAAGTTGCTGTCTTGGAGGGTTCTGCCACAATCATTTATATAATTGTATTTGCTTAGCCCGCTGGCCTCTTGACCTTCCTGGAGTCCGAGGACGGAGTGCCAGACACAGATGTGGAGGAGGATAAGCTTAATTTCCGGGATAATCTCAAGTTTGCAATACAACATTCCAACAAAACTCGCAAGAATGTGATAGAGAAGCATTTGCAAGGCATCAAGCATTGGGGCATGAACCTGATCGAGCAGCAGGATGGGGCAGCGCAGGCTCTGAAAAATCGTCCAGTGGTTCTGCGCAATCGCCGGCAGAAGAAAAAGACATCCGATGCCATTGTGAATTTGCCGTACTTCTTCTATACCTTTGCCAAAGATCACAGTCTGCCAAATCTCATCTGGAACCACAAGGTGAGAGGAAGACCCATCCCCTATATTTTTGTGGGTGGCACTCAACCACATTTTTACACATCTTATTAACAGACACGCGAGGAGCTGCGCATGTGCTTGGAAAATGAGCTGAGGCAGTTCCTGAACGATCGGGACTTGGCTGGCCAGATGATTGTGGCCTGGAACTACCAGGAATTCGAGGTGGCCTATCAATGTCTGGCAGATGAGATCAAAATTGGCGATTACTACATACGACTGATACTGGAGAAGGACGACTGGCCCCAGAATTTGGTGAAGGATCCGTGAGTATAAATAAATTAGGGTTCAGGGATAGCTTTTGAGTCTCATTTGTCTTTGCAGGATTGAGCTGTTCAATGCTTTATATCGGCGTGTTCTGTGCCGACAACGAGTGAACGACGACCAGATGACCGTGTTCTCTCTGCAGGCGCTGGCCAAGGTCTACAGGCGTTACCACCCAGATATCGGCAAGTTCAACGACATGTCATACATTCTGCAACTCAGCGACAGGGTGAGTAAAATGCATATTTAATTGGTTAGAGTCCCTACATGGTATGCCTGTACGTTTACCTCTACTTTAGTGCCTTTCCCCCTCAATGCGCGATGCACTGATAAACCTGATTTCCTGCTTGGTGCTGGAGAAATCCAATTGCCGGGCCCTCATCGATCACGTACAGTGCCTGGTGGATCTGATCACCCTCGCCCATCTGCACAAGGGACGG